AAAGGTTATCATACAAATTTGAAAACAACTCATGCAGTAGTATCAGCTGATAACACTTAGGTTTTGTCCTTAGGTTTGGTACCGAAAAGTGGTCTGGCCAATGGACTATACCACGCCAACTGAAAACGTCCCATATGCGAGCACTGGGTATCATTTCCGTTGCACGAGTAAGTAGGTCTGCCACAACCAAAACACATCAATTACTGCTCTTAGTGGGTTTCTTTCCAAAGACACCCTTGATATCCATCGTAATTTCCTACCATGGTTCTTGTGGTTGTGATGTACCTGTAACGGGTGCAGAAGACCGGACAGGGGCTGGATGACTGCGGGCACAAGCGATACGTGACTTACAGTGCTCCTTGACATCGTTGACCATGTTGGCCATGACGCCTCCCTTTCGAAAGACCTGTTTAATAACCTCCCTGTCAGCTGGTTTAGGACGCTAGCACACTGTTAAAGATCAGATATGAAATCAGCAAAGGAGGTGTACAGTTCTTTGGTGTTCTGGGGGCATAGCCAATTACGAATGACAGTCATGTTGACGGAGCCTGGCTCGACCCCCTTTGCTGAGATTTGATGGCCCAGAAATGGGAGCTTTCTTTGGCACTAGGACATCGTGCTTGACTTGACAGTCAAACCAGCTCCACATAGTCGCTCGGTAACGTCCTTCAACAGATCATAGCGTTGCTGAAATGTTTTTGCCACCGATTAGATCATCTAGGTAGACAGTAGGTCAAGTCTTTCCCGATTATGCTCGTAAAACTGGCATTTTATGCTCCTGATAATTCTCGTTTTACGCCAAAAAAAACCGCTCAAATTATGCTCAATTCTCAAAATAATGCTACTTTATTTCCAGAAAATGCTTTGTTTTATTTCAAGCAAAACGTACAAACTCAGGCATCATGTGTGCTTATCTTCAACTGGAGAAATTGCTTAATTGTTTGTTTATAAAAGTTCTGATACAACCAAAACATGTCAAATGATAAACAGTTAATTAATGTTCGAAGTCCTTAGCGCTTGTTGTACTTTGGCATCACGCTGTTTCCTTCTATGAGAAGATGGCGTGGCCATCTTGTTTGAGCAAGCGCGTGAAAGGCCTCTGAAAGTTAACCGCTGACCAGCTAGGTCCAGACTTTTCGAGTCAATTCAGATGCACTCAGTTCATAGTTACAGTTACAGAAATCCTTCTCTCAAACACAAAAGCAAATCATCGCAATGCTTTTGAATTCTAAAATTAAGCATTTAAAAATCTAGATCAAAGTTATGCAAAATGCTAAATAATGCTAGCAATTCTATTTACAGAAAAAGTGTGAAAAAAATGCTTATTTACCCAAATAATGCCTGATTTGGACTCGCGGTCAAAGGTGAAGAAGAAGAAGAAGAAGACCAGGCGTCGATACAGGAAATGGAAGAGTTTTAATCTTTGTACTTTATATTGACAAAAGTCAAAAATTCTAGTCTGGCCTTCTCCTGTTCGCGTTGGTTACACAATTATCAATCTTACACACCAAAGGGCGCGTATAAATGTTTCTTAATTCTCTCGGGATTAATTATTGAATGAATTATTTAATGGGCAAAATGCTCCCCCCTGGTGCGGAAATCTATTTTAAAAAATTTGTGAACAGATTGAGCAACTAATTTAGTTCTTGTTTGGTTGCAATTAAGCAGAGCTTGTGAATTGGACGATCATAAACTGATCTAGCAGTCTTCATCTCCGGTTTCCTCGTGAGTCCATCTTGTCCGGGATACGTCTGAATTACTAAGCCCATCTTCTATGATCTCCTCGGGGTGGGCTCCATCACCAACACCAAGTCTCCTTCTTGGAGGTTTTCTCGTTTCTTGAACCACTTGTTCCTTGGCAGTAAATTTGGCGCAAAATATTTCATCCAACAACTCCAGAACTCTTGTACTCGTTTCTCAGTGCTTCGCATGAGGTGGCTTGGGTTAACTCTCTGTTCTGGCTCCGGCACGGGAGGTGGAAAGAGTTGACCGATTGAGAGGTCGTTAGGCGTGACAGGCGGATTTTCCCAGATCTCGACAGAGCTAGGATAGAGGGGACGCCCATTGATCAAATAGGTCACTTCTGCCAGATACGTTCTCCACTGTTCCTCTGTAAAGGTTTGATTCTTTGATGAAGCGTCTAAGGCTTGTCTTACTGATTTGATGAGACTTTCTACCACTCCGTTTTGATGGCTAGCTCGTGGTATGTTCCACTTCCAGTGGAAAGAGCATGAAAATTCACCTGATAAGACACTTTGAATTTTGGGGATGTCCCAGCCTCGCAATATTTCGTTCAAATAACTTTGTGCGTCTACAAAGGTCGTACCTCGATCCGACCAACAGTTACTGGGATACCCTCTGAGTGAGGCGAATCGTCGAAAAGCCATGAGAAAGGTATCTGTGCTTCTGTCTGTCACGAGCTCTAGATGGACAGCTCTTGTAGTCATGCATGTAAATATGATTACTTGTGCTTCCCTCAGTGTTTTCCGGCCAATTCGCATTTGCAGAGGTCCACACATGTCAATTGCTGTGTAGCTGAACGCTGGGAAACCTGCTGCAACGCGCAGTCTCGGAATCTGTCCCATCATTTGCTCCAGCGGTTGTCTTCGCAGCTTCTTGCAGGTCACACATTTACCAGTTACTTGTTTGGCCATGTTTCGCACTCCCACGATCCAGAAACGCCTCTTTGGTTCATAGATGAGACTTTTGTAGCCGCAATGTGCTCGCTTTTCGTGAAGGTGTTCCAGGAGTAAATTTACTAATTGGTGTCCTTTTGGAAGGAAAATGGGATTGCGCTCTTCATCTGGTAATGATCTGATGTTCTCTAGTCTCCCATGAGCATGTAACACACCTTGTTCATCTGATGCTGGAATCAGCTTCTTGTCAACAGTATCTACATTGATCGTCCGTTGACTCCGTTTAAATAACCAGCGTTCAGATTCTCTCAATTCTTTTGGCGAAATGGCGTCTTTCTTTTTTTGCTTTCAACCCTTTTTTTCTTTGCTTTCAACCTTGTGTTGTTGGCGAATAATAGAATAAAGCCAAAAGTTTTCCTTGCTTTAGTGAACATCATTCGACTCCGTTGATGTAGCTGAATAATCTACTTGTTCGTGGGTGTTCGCAGCTTGGAACTTATTGTGCGGCTTCATTTCCTCTGACAATTCTTTACCACTTTCCTTGGGATTTTGTTGGAACTTGGGCCATTCTGGTTCCGGGTGTTTCAGGAATGGCGGACCTTCAGACCAAGTCTTCAACTTTTCTGGTGGAGTTCCTCTCGTCAGGACGTCAGCAGGATTATGATCAGATCTGAGCGGACCGGAGAAGAGCAGACTACAATTATTGACAATTATTGATGCCTGGTCTTCTTCTTCTTCACCTTTGACCACGAGTTCAAACCAGTCAAAAATGCTACACTGGCGAGAAGAGAAGAGCATACGCCGACGAATTGCCAGCCTGAAGTCAACGACCCACGGACCGCCAAAAGAACAAGTCGCAAGTCAAAAGGCTCGAAAAAAAAGGCATTTAAAAGCTCAAAACTTCAGAAGCACACAAGCCAACAGAAGCCTACTAAACTGGTAAATTTGACATCTGAAAGGTAAAACAATTCCATATTTACCACCGACCACTTTTTTCCAAGTTCAAGTTCAGGAGTTAAAGAATTCAGTTATCACTTACGATGTTATCGTAATGCTCTTGTCAGCAATTGACCAAGTATTCACGTAGTTAATTAAACTGTTTACATTCAAGCAAGAGATTAACGTTTATTTAAAGAAACCCAAGAAATATTGATGCAATATTTTAGGAAGTGTGTAAACAAACTTTTACGCTAGTAACAGGAATTTATATTTATTATTATCTACAGTTAGTAGTAAATAATGCCACCTAAAGTAGAATTATCAACACTTATTGCGAAAAGAGACAGTACAATAGCTTCATTGAACGACTTATTCGAAGAATTCCACGTGCTTTACCAAGTTGAACCGGTATTGAGTACTCTTGAAAACGTATATAGAGAAGTCGAATCTAAATATAGAGGTGTTAAAAAGCAGCAAGAAACAATTGCCGACAGACTTATTGAATCGGCGTCAGA